ATTACAGACTAACTAAAGTTGAAAAAGTGAAAAAGCATAATAGGACCCCTTTAACATTAATCATTTGAGAATAAAGTATAACAATAATAATAATTTGCACGGTTTGATGTGATATGAGCTAACCGATCTTTAGATTTAATCACCATTGGTAGAGAGATTTATGGTAATGCTTTTTTCCTCAGTTGGTCAGAACAAACGTGGCAGACTTGTTACTTACTTGTTCAGATGACAATATATGGTGAAAATTCTTATTTGGGTCATATTCCAAGACGTAGGCTAGAATCTGTGATTGCGAAGTAAGCGATTTCTGAGAAACGCTGTTGAAAGTGGATCGAACCGAGCATCAAAACACACTTGTAGCCAATCACCAGTAAGGGGCATGTCCATTAGTGATGGGGGAGGTGCCTGTGTTGAATAGCATGTTCAGAAATTTGGGGGCGGAGGCAAGATAGGGGTGTGATTGTTTTGGGTAGGGGCGTGTTTGTTTAGGTGATTTCAAATATCAACAGCATTTCTCAGAAATCGCTTACTGCACCTTTAATGCAAGACATTAATGCATTTAACCTGCAGTTACAAATGCATAAATAATGTTTTGATGATTTAAAAACAAAATGTTCAATAGTGATATTTGAAACGATTTTGAGAAAAAAAAAAAAAGTAAAACATACCTTAAATATAGACCTAAAATCGCCAGTAGGTGGCGGCAAATCACTGCATGAGCAAATCATTCATTCAACCGATCCGTTCAACGGCTGATTCATTCAGTAACGAAACACTTTTGTGTGTTGCTCAGAGACATAAAACAGTTCTGCTGTGGCTTTGTTTGAAACTATTTTCCTTGACGAAATAGAGCAAAAACAGGAACTTGAGTCTAAAAAGTCAATTAATATTAATTTCTTATTTTATAAAATCAACATCACATTTGTAATCGTACTGATATTTGGAGAAAAAAACTGTACTCTTTTTGTGATATTAACTATATCAGACGATATAAATATAAAATACATATAAAAGTCATACGGGGCATATTTGCCCCCTTATCTTGAATTTTGGGGGAATTCTAAATGTATTTTAATAGACTAACTCATGCAGTGAAAGCGTGAACTCTATATGTGCTCGTGCAGTAGTCTAACCTGCATCATGTAGTGTATGCATGCACTCTCTGGGTGTGTCTATGTTTGGTTTTTGCAATATACTTGATAATCTCAAATTGCTTATTGTTTAAACAACAATTACGATATTATCATTGATGATATATATCACACATGTCCTACAGTTTCAAACAGGGAAGAAAGCAGGCAAGGATTTCATCATCAGCCAAGACAAACACTTTTGTGTTTTTCAATGTAGCATCATTGCGACAGAGGGGACTGACAGATCCCATCATCCCTCTCTCTCATTGGCAAGCTGACACACTTCACACCCTCTTTGGCCAATTAAAATGATCGCCATGAATGAAAGATTCCATGATTTTAACATGAAACATGTCCCTTCAGAGAGCGAAGCTACAGATGGCGGATCTGTAAAATGCTTCGGTCAGTAACAAATGATTTTCCTCACCATCAGAACAACCCGACAGGAATTTCACAGCAATCACTGATCAAACAAGTACTAGTTATGAGTCACACCATAGATGCTCATAGGGTGCTGATTTCACCAGATAACTATTTCCTGTTTACTCACTGATGTCACAGGCTAACACACTGTATTCACAAATCAAAAAATAACAGTTCAAAGGGTAAAAACAGAATGGTTTTAGTCCACTAGAAACTGTCGGGGTCTCCATGCATCCTGCTAGCAGGAATACTCACCTTCTTTAAGGGCTTTATCCATATTGAGAGACACCACAACCCTCCTGGTCTGGGCTGAATCCAGCAGAGGTACACAGAACCGGCCCTACGGAGTGAGGAAGACAATCATTAAACAATAAATCACTCATGACAACTTAACACAACACTCATTATGTAGAAAAGCAATTAAAAGACCCAGCTGAGGGACATTTTTTGCACCAGTTACAAGGGTTACAAGTCCTGCATTGATCCTACGCGGAATATATAGTACAAGTCTATTTTGGATCCAAAAGCAGTACTATTATCAGGTTGAGATTAACAACACAATCACAACAAAAAGCAACATAATACCAAAAGAACCAGGCAATAAAGTTTGGCTGATTTGTAAAAACTGGAATTTTCTATGTATATGCCAATAAATTGCGTAATATTTACTTTTGTGTATATTGATAGTCCAATATTTATCTTCTTGTTTTGTTTACAGTGTGAGTGAATCTCACTAACTATTTGTGTCATTTTATAAATATTTACATTTAAATTAAATATACATATATTTAATATTAAATATATATTAAAGATTTTTTATTTCTTTTTTAATTTATTATATTTAAATTTACCTCAAAATCATAAGAAAAATAAGCTTGTCTGTGCAGAGATGGATGGATGGATGGAGACAATATAATAATAATAATATTTTATATAATTTAAAGTTAAATACATAAATGTGATATTTTATTTATTGTTTTATATATATATATATACACATATACACACACCTCAAAATCATAAGGTAAATAAATATAAGATAAAAAGAATATAAATGTACATATAAATATAAAATACTATAGATAGATAGATAGATAGATGAATCGATTGCTATCTAGATGTCTATCTGTCTGTCTATCCATCCATCCATGCAGCTTCCTATATAAGCATGCCATCAGACAGTCATATTCTTTGAAACAATCACAGTGACAGTGCAAATTATTGTTTGGGTGTATTTGTGTAGATGTTTCCGTACCATTAACTTGTTGAATAAATCCACGAGCTTCGATGACTGTCTCCTAGTGGTGTCAAATATATATATATATGTGTGTGTGTGTGTGTGTGTGTGTGTGTGTGTGTATAAACATGTCATCACCATCAGACACAGTCACATTCTTTGAAACAATCACAGTGACCGTGTAAATTATTGTTTGGGTGTATTTGTGTGGATGTTGTGATGTGACATCAGCCTTACCATTAACTTATTGAATAAATCCATGAGCTTCGATGACTGTCTCCTAGTGGTGTCAAATCTGCTGATCTTCAGGGGGCTTCTCTTCACCAGCAGCCCAAGACACCCCAGCATGAAACAGAACAACGCGAAGGACATATAAATAAAGAGTTTGAGGAAAAAGGAGGTGAGTCCTCCAGAGCCGAGCTGGACGACCAGCACCGCCGCCGCGATGCCGAGGACCAGAGACGGGTAGACGGCGCTGCTGGGCATGAGGACATCCGACCTGCTGATGAGGATGCTGCGGCTTCGGCCATCAGGATGCATGCTGCTGCTGCTGCTGGAAATGACATGTCCTCACGTGTGCACAACTCAAGCTCACAGCCCAGATTTCACTCATCACAATGTGTGCGTTGAATTCATAGGGGGAACACAGATGAGCAGGGCTTCTGAGCCACTTTATACAAGAAATGCACATGCAACTGTTGCATCCGAGCAGTTCAATGACAACAGTGCACTTGAGATGATGATCAGCCAGATAACCTGGCTGGCTCTAGGACAGCTTAAATGGCTGCTAATTCAAATCCTCCGCAAATGCATAAGGAAGATCAAGGGCACTCAACGCACGTCAAGTTAAAGAAAACAAACCAAATGTCCACGTAAGCTCATCCAAATATATCAAAACATCTCGAAACGCGTTCAGGTCCATTGACGCTAATACAAATAACGGAGACGCATCACGCGATGATTTCAAATTTTAAGCCTCAGACGCGAAACTAAGATGTAAATACTAAGTGTTCACTCCCTGGTATGTTCATTATCCACCGCAACTGATCCAAAATGTGACGAAAAAATGAAACGTATTCTCAATCCGTCGCGGTGACAAGCGCTCTCAGCTCTGCTTTGATCCCCAGCTGTCTTTCGAGTGGCGAATTTGCGAGTTCTACTATTGAAAAGGGGTTGTATATGAATGTTAATTACGCAACGTGACGTTCGCTCAATAGCCCAGATTGATTGGCCGAAAAGCAGACGTTGGCGCGTATGCGGTAGTCGGTTAGCGAATGAGCGAATGAGACTCGCCTCATGAATAATAATTGTTCACTTGACTAGAAGCTAGACTAGAGGAAGGTTACCAAGCAACGTCATCATTATCTGATTAATATTCATAAGGCAAGTCTTTGCTGTAGTAGTAAAAGCGACACAGCGACTATGGAGCCTCGAGTGGGCCATTCATCACACACACACACACACACACACACACACACAATGGGACTCTAATACAACAGTGGAATGCCTTAAATCTTTTGAAAAATCCATGACCCGGACTGGTTATAACATACTTTTTGTGTCTGGTTGCTTGTTTTTGTTTTGTAGGGAAAATGGGGAATAATGAGTGCAAGTCTAGAAAATGTAATAGGCAGAGAGAGGACAACTGTACATGCAGGAGTCATTAAGGATTTATTTGAAATGGCAAATATTAAAATCATTTATAAAGCGTGTATATCAGCAAACGGGCTTAAGTGTATAGACCTATCACTGGTTACTATACTGAAAATAATTATATATGTGCACACACACACACACACACACACACACACACACACACTATGGCGTGATTGTAGTGTGGTTTTAAAGTTTGCAGACAAATGGTCTTTTTGCGCCACCTAATGTTCATCGTGAATATTACTCTTTACCTGGTCAACTGAGAAAATGTCTAAGTTTTTACTGTGCCTCATGAAACTCATCAAAGTTTTAATAATTGCTGTGTTGTTTATTCATAGTTCAGTCTTAAAAAAATATTTTTCATGATTTTAAAGCATTATTACAGAGGCCCTGCTGAGATAAAACTTCAAAAGAATTTTATTTTATTTTGTAAGTAAACATAAATCAGTAAAGAGGTGAAAATAAAATGGTGTATTATATAATATGTGGAATAAATATTAAAACGTCAGATCATTGAAGTTCGCACCCAAGACCAGCAGATGGCGAAAGAGCTCATTAATTTTCCGTGCTGGGTGGAACGCTGCTGTAAAAGCACATATATAGAATAAAAGTCCCCCTATAAATTACAATAAACAATATTAATAATATATTTAAATCTGTAAAGTGTGAATGAACAAATGTAGTTACAAATGAACAAAATAACAAAAAAAAAATTGTCTAGAAGAAACAACCTTTCTTTTATTGAATACATTGATTTTATTGAGAAAAAAATAGTACAAACCCTGTACTAAAGAGAATCTAGTTATTTAATCTACAGTAGAACAAATAACAATGTAATAAAATAATGCCTTAGATTCAAAGCAGTACACATCTTGACAGAGATGTGATACTAGCCAACTAGTCAAGTAATTTTATAGTAATCAGGAAAAAAAACCTGCTCTATGTGTTATCAAAACTGAGTAGATGTAGAGACCATTCACAAAACAACAGAAAACAGATGGAGAACATGGAGAAAATGATATAATAAAAGATCATATCTTAAAATAAAAATCTAAAATCTAAATCGTTCAGTGAAATGTGCAAATTGGTTTATCCAACACCAACATACTTTCTTCTACTCTATCAGCATTTAATAATACTTACAACTCAAAAGTAGAGGCAGTGCAGCAAAAAGCTGATAAAAATGTTTTTCTTGGCATTTATCTGACGCCATGGCACACACTAAGGCATAAAATATGTGTTTCATATTTGCGATCTTGCAGTCTTCCATCTGATATAGTGTTTGTGAGATGTGAGATGCAGTGGTGGAGTATTCTAGAGCGGCAGCAGTATATATATATATATATATATATATACTGTATATATATATATATATATGTGTGTATGTGTGTGTGTGTGCGACCCTTGACCACAAAACCAGTCTTAAGTCTCTGGGGTATATTTGTAGCAATAGCCAAAAAGACATTGTATGGGTCAAAATTATACATTTTTCTTTTATGCCAAAAATCATTAGGATATTAAGTAAAGATCATGTTCCATGAAGATATTTTGTAAATTTCCTACTACGAAGATATCAAAACTTAATTTTTGATTAGTAATATGTATTGCTAAGAACTTAATTTGGACAACTTTAAAGTCGATTTTCTCAATATTTAGATTTTTTTGCACCCTCAGATTCCAGATTTTCAAATAGTTGTATCTCGGCCATATATTGTCCTATCCTAACATACATCCATACACCAATAGAGCCGTTGTTGGGCAGTGGTTCGATCCCCAGCGTCTTGCACAAAACATTATACACATCTACTGTTCGGATGGGACCAGCGCGGAAGTTCATCTTGAAGTCTGGAGAGAACAAAACATAAAAAAATCTAATATATATATATATTCACACACTATACTCCAAATGTTTGGGGTCAGTTTATGCCCACCAAGGCTGCATTTATTTGATCAGAAATACAGAAAAAACAGTAATGTTGTGAAATATTATTAGAACTGATTTTTATTTGAGTATAATTTAAAATCTAATTTATAAACTTAATTTTTGATTAGTAATATGTATTGCTAAGAACTTAATTTGGACAACTTTAAAGTCGTTTTCTCAATATTTAGATTTTTTTGCACCCTCAGATTCCAGATTTTCAAATAGTTGTATCTCGGCCATATATTGTCCTATCCTAACATACATCCATACACCAATAGAAAGCTTATTTATTCAGCTTTCAGATGTATAAATCTCAATTTCAAAATATTGACCCTTATGACTGTTTTTTTGGTCCAGGGTTACATATATATATTTTATTTTATTTTAAAATTAAAACAAATTCTATGATACTCTACAAATTTAAATGTAAAAGTAAATTATTAAAGCTTATATTTTAAATATAATAAGCTAAAATATTCATATCATTTCAAATATACATAAATATACAGAGTAAAGGTATGCTGAATTTTACCTGGTCCCTGTGCCAAAAAGAATCCCCTCATGTCCATAAACTCATTATCATAACCGTGCCATCCGTGTTGCCAGCCCCCCGCCTCCTCCGTGCCGTTATTCCAGAAGGGCAGTTTGGCTTTATTCTGTAAAGACATGCAGACGTGCAGAGCTTAGCATATATTAGCCTGCAATGTTGGAATTAGACTGATGCCTTGGTGTTTCATCCTTTATTCGGCACAGAGGTCAGAGTGTGTTTTTGTAGTCAGCTAATAACGCATCACTGAGACAATCTGTTATATCAGGCAAGCACACAAGAGCAAGACTGTTGTTTTTGGCCTTTATATGCAAGACTGAATCATGACTGAAGTAATTCCTGTCAGCAGTCTTATTGGAAAAGTACAAAGCAACATATTAAATGGATCACAAGTAGATTTGGGGAAATTTCCACACCCTGCTGGGACGGATGGTGAAGTTTTAATAGTGCAGATAAGGACAGGTAGACTCAGCATATTGTTAATGCTTTAAATAAATACAATTATAGCATCTATATAGACATCTAGATTTGATTAGATTGTTATAATCATAAAACAACCCCATAAACAACCATGAGGACATTTAGGACAGATTGTGTAGAGAATAACCTCGGTGATAAACCATCCGGGCTCTGCGATGAGCGTCAGCGTCGAGACGAACCTCCCGTTCTTGTAGTGGAAGCGGTCTGGGATCTCTTGTTTCTTATAAACATTCATGTTGTCCACTGTGCTCAGGTTTTGATATATCTGAATTAACAAATACACACATTTTAAGTTTGAGCCACTGAAGTTCACATTTAATCCCAAAACCTAAGCACAAGGCATTAAACTTCTGTTTTAAATTTTGTATTTCCCATTATTTTCAATTGTGATTCTCATCAGATTTAAAATTAATTATTATATTAATTGTATAATTCTATTGTTATTATTTTATAAATTCAATTTATTAGTGCATGTTATTCCAAAGAAAAACTTGTTTGTCATAATATTTCATCAAAATGTAATAACTTATTCTACCTCTTTTCACCTATGTTTCATTATAATTGTATTATATTATCATTTTATTTTATAAATTTAATGCAGTTCAACATATACCACTATGTATACATATTTTATTATTTAAATAAATTCTCTTTCTTTTCACAGTATAGTAATGAGAACAAGATATTTTGAGTTTTGTGAAGAAAATTTCATAATGTAAAAATGCTATATATACAAAATACACACACAAAACACAGGCCAGTACATCAAAGTTAAAGCATACTTTACATGGTGAAATATCGCTAAAGTTAAAGTTTAAATCTAAATGGGGCCGACAGCAGGTCAAAGTTTTTCACATCGATGAACTCTGATGCTAAGCGTATTTCCCCCTCAAAATAGCAGATGTAAAATAAGAGAGGGTTGTTTTTGGAGCTGTGGCCTTGCTGTAAACACAAGTCTCATGGAAAACATGCAGAAATGGAACGAGAACAGAGACAGGTTGAGCTCACCTCTTCAAACTTGTCCTGTTTGGGCCACAGACTGACCACTGGCCCCCTGTCCATCATTTTAATGATGTGCGACATGTCAATGTACTTGTCCAGTTCAATGACTTTCTCCATCCACTTGAGGTCCGTCATGCCATGATCAGAGAACAGGACCACGTTTATATCATCTCTCATATTCTTCTCCTGACAAATAAATAAATTAGGGCTGTCAAATCGATTAATGGCGATTAATCGTATTCATGTAGCACGATATACCGATAAAGGTATCGCGATACCCTGCTTTTAAAAATGCCACGATTCCTCATTTTACTAGTACCGGTACTTTAAGAAAGACAGCGTTTAAATAAGAGCCGTATTTCCTACCCGGACAGTTTTATGTTTTTGTCGTGGTATCAGTTAAGTAGTAGTATCGAGATATTTTAGTCAGGTATCGTATCAAATTCAAAATTTTGGTATTGTGACAACACCAATCCAAAATAAAAGTTTGTGTTTACATGATATATGTGTGTGTGTACTGTGTATATTTATATGTATATATAAGAACTTCCAAAATGCAGTTTAAATGCAGCTTCAAAGGGCTCTAAAAAATCCTACAAAAAAGTCCTACATCGCTGCAGAAGTACCTTACTTACTACAAAATAGTTAGAAGTCAGAAGAACACGGACTGCAGGAAAGCAAGTTTGACGAATCAGTGGTCTGGCTTTTGCAAGTTAGACTCCAAAAAACACCTTTGCTCATGTGCAAACAAGTGCGCGCACAATCGCGGATGATTCATTTTCCACTCAAGTCGAGTCTACGTGTGCAATATACAATATCTTCTGTGATAATATAGTAAGTGTTGTTGTAATGATGTGCAATCTGACACTCAAAATTTAAGGCATTCTAAATTGTAGACGGCAAAAATGCTTCTGTATGCTTTTAATATTTATATAATTTAATATAGTTAACTTAATCTATATCACACGAAGAGTACCGTTTTTCTGAAGATATCAGCATGATAACTAATTTAATAATCATTTTATTCAGTTCAGTAAAGTTAGCAATAAGTTTAGACAATGTTTTAAATTATTTCAAATATCAGTATTCAACGTTTTATGTTAAAAACAAAACATTATTTATGCATCTGTAATTGCAGGTTAAATGCATCCATGTACCCTCTGAGCTACATTAAACTGTGTAAATACATCTAAATGCTATTTCAGATGCAGATTCCAGAAATGTTTTCTTATGTTGGAATGAAAGACACGTTTTTATTTGCTTCTTTTCCATTTTGCATTTACTTGTACTTTTACTTTCAATACTTAAGTACGTTTAAGATTTTAAAAATACTCTTCGTACTTAAGTACAATAAATATCACATACTTTAAGCCTTTTACTCAAGTAATATTCTAAACGGTGACTTCAACTTCTACCAAAGTACCGACCCAGTGTTTACAAAGTGAACATGCAAAGAAGGCCAAACGCCCTTTACAAAAAATGGTAAAACCGCGATGTAGGACGATTTTGAAGTTGGAGGAGAAAATGAGATGGGAGTTTTTCGACATTCCCTAACTGTCATGAACCAGAATACACAGAGTTCACGCAGAGCTAGACAAGACGAGCGTTTGAGCTTAAAAAGTATATCAATTGTAAATTTTTTTAGAAAATAACGATCGTTTCGCTAGATAAGACCCTTCTTCCTCGGCTGGGATCGTTTAGAGCCCTTTGAAGCTGCATTTAAACTGCATTTTGGAAGTTCAAACTCAGGGGCACCATAGAAGTCCATTATAAGGAGAGAAATCCTGAAATTTCTTTACAACTGAAGAAAGAAAGACATGAACAACTTAAATGACAAGGGGGTGAGTACATTATCTGTAAATCTTTGTTCTGGAAGTGAACTACTCCTTTAAGAAACATATGATTTATATTATACATAAATATATATTACATTTCTTAAATATATACATGTATATGTGTATTTATATATCCATATAAATATACACATTACATAGACATATATTATGTAAACACAAACTTTTATTTTGGATGCGATTAATCGATTTGACAGCCCTAAAATAAATACAAAATGTGTTTTAGATAGCCAGGTGGAACAGACAGCGAGTATTGTTTTTTTTCTCTCTTTCTTTCACCCATGTAAAAATACCTTGATTTTCTGGTTGAGGATCTGGAAAGCCTGGTCCAGTGAGCGAATAGCACGCTGTATTTCCGGAGAGCGCGGCCCAAAGTGATGTCCTTCCACATCAATCTTCTCGTAATAAATACCAGCCATGTCTGCTTTATTGCTCCTGTTTGAAACATATCATTCAAATAAAATCATCAAATAATAACAAACACACTTAAAGGAACAGTTTACCCAAAAATAAATGTAGATGATGTAGATGAGTTTGTTTCTTCATCAGAACAGATTAGGAGAAATTTAGCATTACATCACTTGCGCACCAGTGAATTCCTTTTGTTAGATTGTTTTCTGGAGTTAGTATGTTGGCCTTGAGCCCTCCTGAAGTTCTGTTTGCTTCATTGTGTTAATAAATTTCATTCTGTTTTGCATCTATAATGGTGTTGTGTTTAAGTTAGGAAAAGGGAAAACTTCCTCTTTTTTTCACCACTTTCTTTATTACTCCTTCCCATCCTTAAACTGAGAAGGAATTTAATATAAAAATTTGACAATGTTATCTACTATATGTTCTTGATTGTATTGTGAATGATTGGTTAGAGCATGTTACTCCAAATATATATATATATATATTTTTTATTATTTTTTTTTTTTTGCCTACATAATCTTTCATCAAAATGTTATAACTTACTTCCTCTTTTCTTTTCAACTGACATGACCTAGTTTGTGTTTGCTTTTGGCTAATTAGCACGTCTGGCTCCATCTAGGCAGAAAAGCTAGAATTATCTGTGTTAATGATTTCTGAGCAGGCTTGCGGTCTTACTTTAACACATTAAGAGCGCTCTCCATGGAGTCGGTCAGGTTCTTCTCTGAAGGATTGTACACATATTCCTCACAGAATGTAGGTCTGACTCCAAGAATTGTCACTTCACAACCTGAACGGACAGAAACACTTTAGACCATGTGACCAGCGTTTATATGCATTTGAGAGAGATCAAAAAGGCTTTTGAAAGCTTGAACACTCCACTTGAAAACCTTGCAAGCTTTTTTTTAATGTCAAGTAGCAGTAGAAGTCTGGCATGGGAGGAAGCTCTGTGTGACCACGGGGTGAATTTAAAAATCCCTTTATTTATACTGTACACTATAGCGTTACTAACATTTTAAAATAAATTAATATTTTTATTCAGCAAGGATGCATTACATTTATCAAAAGTGACAGTGAAGACATTTATAATACATAATATATAAAAGATTTCTATTGCAAATAAATGCTTTTCTTGTCAACTTTCTATTCAACAATCCTGAACTGTTTTCAACATAAGAAGAAATGTTTCTTGAGCAGTAAATCAGCATATTAGAATGATTTCTGAAGGATCATGTGACACTGAAGACTGGAGAAATGATGCTGAAAATTCAGCTTTGCATCACAGGAATAAATTACATTTGAAAATATATTCAAATACAAAACAGTTATTTTAAATTGCAATACTATTTCACTATATTACAGATTTTACTGAATTTTACCACTATTAAAACCTTTTCATAAAATTGTGATACATAAGAAGTGACATCATTAGATCCCTTTCTACAACGCTGAAGCAAGTAAATCATCTCCATTTATCTTCCATCATCTCTTATTTTCTCGATTTCTACAAGCATTTGGTTCCAAAACCACATCAATTAGGGTATTTAGACATGGGATAAAAATCTCAAAGAAAAATATATAAAATAATTAGGAATTTAAACAGATCATATATTTATTTGAAGCTGACAAACAGCATTTTCAAAGTTTAAGCGCTTCACATTTACTGACCCATTTATGAAAAATTACAAAACATTTTTACAATCATTTTCCAGTCCCGCATACGCCGTGTATAACAAACCAGTTCAGACGTACACTAACCTGGCCAGTAGTACATGTAGACTCTCTTTCCTAGCTTCTGCATGGTGACCCACAGCGGCTCTGATCCGTCCCACCACATGGGCAGACGGCTGTCTGAATTAGTTCCAATCAGGAACTCCTTCATGGTGTCTTTATCCCACATGTAATTCCCAGTCATCTGGTGCACCTCGCAGTAGCGTCCTGAAACATGAGGAGGAGTGCAGAATGAATATTTACAGCACACGAGGGTGGATTTTAATCAGCACGCCTCAGAGGTTCATTTGATTAAAGAGCTTCATTCATTTAATTACATTGCTCATATGTTGCTCTTTTAGCTTTAGCTCAGGAGACTCCACACAGCTTACAGATGTTTCAGTGTCTTTGGATAGCCTGTAAAAACAATGGAACATTTGTCCCCTCAAGTAGCCTACTTCAGGCTCTGTGGAGTTAAAGGCACACAATGAAGATTAGATTATTTAAAATAAAACATTAGAAAAAATACTTTCTGAGTAAGTTCAATATATAACGTTAATAACAAACCCAGGAATGTTTCAGAAATATCAATACAATTTTTCCATCAAGCTGTCACAGCAAAATGACCTGCTCAGTGAGTGTCTGACACCTGTAAACGATTAAAGATCTTTTCAACCTTTTACTCAGGCCAAAATCATGACATTTCTGAGCTGTTTACTCAGATTTTTCTATTGGTGACAGAATGAGTTGGAATGAGTCGGCCTGATGCGTTTAAAAATTTTACATTTAAAAAAAAGAAAAAACATTTTTTTGGAACGGTTAATCTCTCACCCCCGCATTTGTTTCTCCACTAGAAGCATGTAATGTATGCAAAATATGATACAGATAATTTGTCATTTAGGATATTTTCAAAGAATGTATCTTTTTATCAACAGGTACTTCAGGATCTGATTGATAATTTTAGCAATGGTTTTGTTCACTGATAAACTTTTGACTGTTTCTGATATCAGATGACTCTCTCTATTAGGCCACAACTGCCCCTTTGTTTCTCCACTAGAAGTAGAGGCAGTTGTGGCCTCTTTTCCACCTTCAGGAACCACAACTGAGGTCCTTGAGCAAGGCACCGAACCCCCAATTGCTCCCCGGGCGCCGGAGCAAATGGCTGCCCACTGTTCTGGGTGTGTGTTCACGGTGTGTGTGTGTGTGTGTGTTTACTACTCACTGCTGTGTGTGTGCACTTGGATGGGTTAAATGTAGAGCACAAATTCTGAGTATGGGACACCACACGTCACAACAATGGCAGAACACTCGCATTTTCTTTGTTATTCTTGATCTCTGTCAGGACTTCCTAAATGAAGATCTTGTTACCTGGGCAAACAATGCAAATGCAGGAAAGAGGCATTGCGCTTATCCAAGAGTACAACAGACTCCTGTCAGAGACTGAAGAACTAACGCAGTTCATTATGCAGATTGTCAGAGAGCACCAAAATCAGTTTCCAGGTCTCTGCAAGAGTACTGTGGTTGAAGGACTTGTCGGATCATCATAAATATCTAGATCAGATCTCAGTTTTGTTCGAAGCTCACTTTCTTCATTAGTACAGTAATTTCACTTTTTAACTTTCTGCTTCTGCGTCTGCAAGAACTTTGCGGCTGAAGGACATTGGATTGTCATCACAATCTAGATGTGATCGCAAATTTTCAAAGATCAGTTCTCATCAGCAGCATTGTAATTGAAATTTTTTTATTTTAAGATTTTATTTTTGGCGTTTTATGCCTTTATTTCGATAGGACAGTAAGTGGACAGGAAGCGAAATGGGGGGGATGGGATCGGGAAAGGTCTGCGAGCCGGGACTCGAACTCGGGACAGCTGACGTGCAATGGCGCTACATGCCGGTCTAACAACATTGTTCTGTGTTCTCGTTTTTAAACGAATTCACACTTTACTAATGGTCCTGTATTATTATTAATTACATGCTGTTATGGTCATTAAGCTAGATGTGATCGCAAATTTTCAAAGATCAGTTCTCATCAGCAGCATTGTAATTGAAATTTTTTTATTTTAAGATTTTATTTTTGGCGTTTTATGCCTTTATTTCGATAGGACAGTAAGTGGACAGGAAGCGAAATGGGGGGGATGGGATCGGGAAAGGTCTGCGAGCCGGGACTCGAACTCGGGACAGCTGACGTGCAATGGCGCTACATGTCGGTCTAACAACATTGTTCTGTGTTCTCGTTTTTAAACGAATTCACACTTTACTAATGGTCCTGTATGATTATTAATTACATGCTGTTATGGTCATTAAGACAGAATTTCAATTTTGTTGAGCACACCATAAATGTAGTCCAATCTCTGCAAAATTTGGTTTGTTTACATTTCTCATGAAGGGGACTTGACTGGGCGGGTTAGAGCAGAAGATTTCAAAAGTCCAAAAATAAGGGCCACCCTATTCATCAGACATCATCTTTCAAACATGTGAATACGTTGAGCTTAGGAACTTTTTAGGCAGATTTTTAACGTTTTAGTTGGACTATCTAATGCTTTCAATGATGAAGCAGATGTTACATCAGCATCACACAATCCTTCGGAAATCATTCTAATATGCTGGTTTGCTGCTCAAGAAACATTTCTCATTATTATCAATGTTGAAAATAAGAAAAAAGGTCAACACCAGCAGATTTTTCAAAGCCTCTACGTTTTAGTATTAAACATCAGTGTGTAACACTGTTTATGCAAAAGACATGAATGATTCCTCAAATCATACAGCAAAGGATAAAGGAATAATTCACCCAAAAATGAAAATTTGCTGAAAATGTATACACCCTCAGGCCGTCCATCATGTAAATGAGTTTGTTTCTTCAACAGAACAGATTTAGAGAAATGTAGCATTAAATCACTTGCTCACCAACGGATCCTCTGCAGTGAATGGGTGCCGTCAGAATGAGAGTCCAAACAGCTGATAAAAACATGACAGTAATCCACAAGTAATCCACTCCACTCCAGTCCACCAATTAATGTCTTGTGAAGTGAAAAGTTGTGTAAAATATGAGTCTTCTATTCATAATATCGTTTTGTCTGGAAAAGTTGTCTTGTCTGAATCAGGAGAGACAAAAGCACAGATCAAGCACTGTTTACAAGTGAAACAGTTCTAAACAAATATGTTGGTGGATTTTGATGTGAGAGGACAACAGGGGATGAAATTTATTACTGGAGGAAGCCTTATTATGGCTCACTTACTTTATTATGGACTCATATTTTGTCCAAAAGCGACTGTTTGTAGTTAAAATGCATTAATGATGGAGTTGTTTCTTACAAACACGCAACTTTTTGCTTCACAAGACATTAATTGATGGACTGGAGTCATGTGAATTACTTATGGATTATTGTGATGTTTTTATCAGCTGTTTGGACTCTCATTCTGACGGCACCCATTCACTGCAGAGGATCCACTGGTGAGCAAGTGATGTAATGCTACATTTCTCCAAATCTGTTCTGATGAAGAAACAAACTCATCTACATATTGGATGGCCAGCTGAGGGTGAGTAAATTGTTAGCAAATTAAATTTTTTTTGGTGAACCATTCCTTTAAGGAGAAGTGTGATATGACTATTCTAAGGGATCTGATTTAAAAAGGCCAAAAAAAATATGATAAACACACACTAAAAGATAGACCCATCTAGCAAACACAGAAACACACTAGCAACCAAATAGCAAGGCTTTGGCAACCACCCAGAGCACCTACTGTATAGCAGTGATGAGTTTTGCCTAGACCAGTATGTTTAATTTTAACATACTTGCCCATGCAAATTTTAATTTCTAATTTAATTTCATTTACTTCTGGGATATTGATGATAATGATCCTTGACTGCTTGGACACGTAATTTTAAACTGAAGTGTTAAATTTAAACTGCTGCTGTACAGACTTACACAGTACATAGAGCAGGGTCAGCGTGTCCAAATGAAAGCATTAAAACAAACAAACACACTCCTTTAATAACACAAAGCCTGCTATAAAGCAATTAGCATGTCAAGAACCTTTGGCCATTCCTGCAAGTTACAGGCCTAAGAACTACTACTAATACTTTACAGTATAACGTTCATTAACAAATCACAAATATTATAAGACGCTCAACAGATTCAAAAGTAGTTCATGCACACTTGAATATGAATTATGTATTTCAAAATGCTGCATTTATGATGCATTTTATACAGTAAAAATATTGTGATATTATTACAATTAAAAAGAACTGTTTTCTATTTTAATATATTTTAAAATGATGGAAAGCTGAAATTTCAGCATCATTACTCCAGTCTTCAGTGCCACATGATCATTCAGAAATCATTCTTATATGATGACTTGCTGCTCAAGCAACATTTCATATTGTTAGACGTTGAAAACATTTTTTCTTTTTAATATTTTTGTGGAAACAGCATTTATTTGAAATCTGAGTAACATTATAAATGTTTTTACTGTCACTTTTGATCAATTTAATGCATCCTTGCTAACTATATTTTTCTAAGTAAAACTAATTGCATTTAAATATTATATAAATGTAGTAATGTTTGCTTAATGGTATTAATAACAGTTATTCTAAGACAGTTTGCACTGTGGCCAGATAAGAGGTCGGGCTGACGTCCCTCACGGTGTCCCAGCTTTGCTCTCATTGTTTGATTTCTTTGTCAAAGCTGAAGCCCAGTTGTCACGGCAGACTATCTTCTGAAGCTTTGTTGAAAAGAGAATGTGCCCAAACAAAACAACTGGCATCAGCAGAGCGGTAAAGCGTAGGCTCTGATCATGAGCTTCTCTGATTGGTGGACGTCGGGTCAAAGCGTGTGTGCTAGAGCTCAGCCTGCATGGCCTTTGTTACTGAAGTCCGGCATACAGACAACATATACTGTATCACCATGTGATTCAGCAACACGATTCACTGACTCAACTGAGTGGACGTGATCAGAAATGCTTGTGCAATTTTTTTGACATGGTTAAGTGGAATTCATTTTTAATTTAATTTTAATGTCTCCTGAGAGATTACAAAAATTACAAACAAATAGGCATAGACTGATCATCTACACACAACCCCAAAATAAAGATGTAAAACAAATCTGCTACAGGGTCATTCCATGTCAAATCAATCAAATTTCAGAAATTTCCCCTGCTCCATTTTTTTATTTTGTCAATATTTTTTTCTGAAGAAAGATAAACAGGTATAGTGATGAAAGTCAAAATATTAAATGTCACAGATGTATATTTACTGAGTAAATTGTAACCACTGATTCTTCACACGACGCAGTGCAGAATCAGTGGTTAGTTACAACTCATTATACCACGATACCACAGTAGTATAATTCTAAAATTAATCTGTGTTCCCATCATTTCACCGATGACTACTTCTCCAATCTCAGGTGAGTTCAATGGGGAAGTGAAAATAAGCTGCTTTTAACTGTCACAGTGCAGAGCACAGAGTTTTGTTGCCATGTTAATATCCACATGAACGAGCTACAGCGTTTGAGAGGGGTTCAAGTTTTCGCGGGATGTCCACGTAGGATGTAGGCGGGCATTATGCAAATGTAAGAATTTGTGACGTGTGAAATTTGCAAAATGGGATTCTAATTTAGAACAGCTCGTTTAAGTGATTCAGAGTCGACTCTTTCTTTTGAGAGACAATAACTTTATTTAGGGCTGCACGATTAATCGGATGCGATTGTCAAGCGTATCTTGTCAGTAAAGCCGGTTCTGTGATTAGTAGTAAATCTCCAGCACGTGCTTTCAGATGGAGCAGCGTTTACTACACAGAGCTGTAGTTCACTGACAAGCTACGCAAAATCGCCATTCATAATCACAGACGATTTAATCGTGCGATTATGAAATCGAAGATATCGTTCTGTGATTATAAAAGCTGTTGGCGTAGCTTGTCAGTGAACTACGGCTCTGTGTAGTAAATGCTGCTCCACCTGAAAGCGCGAAAATACCACATTTAATAACGTTTTTACTCCAAACTCACTTCATATCGTCAGTCGAGTGTTTGAAATAAATCCTTCTGTGAGATGATGTGGCTTCTTACACAGAATAAGGCACACAACATATTTCATAGTATTCTAGGCAGTGATAAAGGCTATGTCGATTAGCATTGCATTATTATATACTTTATTATAATAAAAATTATAATAAGACAAACTTGGATAAACCTTATATTGTTGTAGTTGTGTGTTTATTAGTCACGTTGAATTAAAGGGGTCATATGATGCTGCTAAAAAGAACAGTATTTTGTGTATTTGGTGTAATGAAATGTGTTTATGCGGTTTAAGGTTAAAAAAACACATTATTTTCCACATACTGTACATTATTGTTTCTCCTCTATGCCCCGCGTTGTTAGAACGAGCCGTTTTAGGTAGGCGTGGCTGACTCTTAACTTTTATAAAGAATATCTTTTTGGATTTGAGACTTTAGTCTTTGCAACTTTACAGATCTTCTTTATGCACCAAGAGCTTGTAACAGTCCAAAGAGAAAGGAAAAATTTAAATCGCATCATATGACCCCTTTAATGAAAGCAGTTAAATCTTCTGTTTATTCAGCAACAGCTATAGGGATTTCCTGGGTTTTTTCTGCAGGGCGTATTTGGAATTTCAGCGGGAGAGCACCCTCTGGCCTTCGGATGGAGATTTACTGCTGATCACAGAACCGTGCTTTACTGAAAGATATGCATGACAACCGCAGCTTCTGCCTAATCGCGATTTATCGCCTTTGCGATTTAATTTTTATTAATTGTGCAGCCCTAACTTTATTTATGATGCACTTTCAGCTTTACAACTTTGCAGACTGTTTACATTCACATACAGCTGCATTACACACTGCATGAAATATAATTTTCAAAAAGCCATAATAGGGGCACTTTATTAAACTTTCCTTTGGCATCCTCATTTTTAAGGCTCTATGGTTCAGTTACAGAGGTATTGGAATCTCAATATGATTCCAGGAGTCCATCGTAAAAAAAATAAAAAGTACATATTTTCAATGGTCAAAAACCAAATATGTGTCACCTGGCATTCAGCTGACACTTTTTTTCTTTTAAAGTCTGCGTAAACCGGAAGTTGCGACCGACTTTACTTCCGTATTGTGACGTACTTCAGAGAGCAACGGAATATTGAATGAGAAAAACAGAGGGCGTGGCTTGTTTTTTCTACTGCGAACTGATTGGATATAGTAAAGTAGGCGTTTCATTCAAACAACACTGACAGTTGAGGGGCGTGTTTAAGGATGTTATGCTCAAGTCATCAGAGAAGGTCCGTCATTTTAGAAGGGAGGTGCATTTTCAGATTTGTATTAAAGATTACGAAGGCAAAACATTATTTTTTTTTTTGTGGATTGACTTGCACGGATGAATTGTTCACCACAAAAATAGCAGTGTGCGCTAACAAAATAAATATAGTCAATTTTGATTTCATGAGTACTTTAAAGAGGAAGGTCTGAAGAATGAATAATGTTGAAACTAGAAATGCATCTTGTTTCCCTCTATCAAAACAAGTGCATAGAACATACCTGTCTGAGTGCTAAAAATGCACTGAAATTATCAAGTTTAGGCACTTTGCCTTGCTCTCTGTAGTCTATTCATAAGATTCTATATTTGAAAGTTTTTGTTCATTTTAACAACTTCTGTAACTAATACTTGTAACAATGTTTGAAACAAATCCTACGCCTAAGTGTGGTTGCTTTCCCCATACAGTGTATTAACATCAATAAACCCAAGATTTGCCTCACCTGGATTAACTAGAATTTATTTTTCTTTTTTATTGTTATCACATGTTAAGCATAGTCATAGATCAAGTAATATCTACTGCTAAGGGGCATATTTGGAGGAATCACTGTTAGTAAATCAAACTTTGAAACATTTAAGGTCTCGCACACTTGAAATAATTAACACTGGGTAATGCTAAACCCTAAAAGAATCTTATTTTACATTCCACTCTGTTCATACTTTACCCAGAGTTAACTATTAATCCTGGTTATTCATTATCTGACATGTCACACTATACATTCCTAAACCCTGTGTTACTGTTATTATTTGCATACTTGCAGTGTCAACATTCATGACTAGATAAACACAAATTCACATTAGGTTTTCATCCATTGTAAATGGGTAGGATTCCACAATTTGGATATTGAGTCGTATTGGGCTTCCCATATCTCTGGGAATTAACCATACAGGGCTTAAAAAAGTAAGATTTCAAAAGAAAAGTTTCTTATGAATCAGAATCTAAAATTATATTAAAATATTAAATATTTAATACTACTTGAGTTACAGGCATGCAGACTTTTGAGGGGGGAAAAATTTAATTTTTGGCACTCAAACAAATATGTTCTGTGCGATTGTCTTGATATTGAAAAACAAGATATATTTCTACTTTCAATATTATTATTTGTTCTTCAGACATTGTCCTTTAAATACAATTTAAAAATCTGCTGGTTGACAAAATAACCACATTTGGTTTTTAACCATTGAAAATGGGATAAAAGTCAACAACTGAGTCACATTGGGCTCTCTATATCTCTGGGATTGAGACATATAGGGCCTTAAAAATGAGGATTACAAGTTAATTAAGAACCACATTCTAAAATCATATTCATATCTTTAATACTTCTTGAGTTACAGGCATGCAAACTTTGGAAAAATAATATTTATTGCACTCAGACAGGTATGTTCTTTGCAATTGTTTTTGACAATTCTAGTTTCAACATTATTTGTTCTTCAGACTTTCCCCTTTAAAAGAAAAAAAGTACCATATTTATGCAAAGTGACACATATTTGGCTTTTGTCCACTAAAAAAAAAATGTGTACAATTTAACAATTTACTCCTGGAGCCATATTGAGAATCCAGTATGTCTTTAAAAATGAAGATGCCAAAAGGAAAGTTTGTTAAGACCCCAAATCTAAAAGGGCATTAAGATATCTTTAATACTTCTTGAGTTACAGGCATGCAAACTTTGAAGAAAAAAACTTGAAAAGTGCTTTTTCCCATTTTTCAACGGACCACTGGCATATAATGCAACAAAGATAGCTAAAGTCAACAGATTGTCATTGAACTAATAGGCAACCAATCTCTGTGTAAAACTAATATAATGATGCCAACATCATTCATTTTTACCCTCCTGTAATTTGGCTCTAAATCTCAGGTGAAATTTTTCATTTCGACCCCCCTCTACAAAATAGTGGATTACTCAGTAAATATACATCAGTGACATTTAATATTTTGGCTTTCATCACTATATATGTTTACCTTTTCTCAGAAAAAAATATTGACAAAATCTAAAATTTGAGCCGGGGGTTGAGTTTACACAGAATGACTGTGTGTGTATATATATATATATATATATATATATATATATATGTATACTTTGTAAGATATTTCCATCTGCTGGTATACCGATAAATAAATCTCAATGAAAGTAAGCTGTTTTTCTGTTGTCTTTGTGGATGAAGGACTCATCATTTGTGCCTGGCGCCTGTGATTAATGGCCCTGTTCAAACAATAATGAATGAGCAGATCTCAGATCCAAAAGATCTCTATTGTTCTAAAGTAAGAGTATTTTTTAATGACCTTTATACTCTTTTTGAACTGTTTTTGTATATGAGTGTACTACAAAATGTCATGGAATGCATTGGTAAAGCACTACGGTGACAAAACAATGATTTAGGCTAGGCTTCACAGGCATTTGGAACTCATTTAGGGATCCCGGAGTTCATAACATCTTACATCCCACTAGATTACTCATAATAAAGAAAATAAATGTTCAAAAGACCTAAACCAATAACTTATAACTGCAACACAAGAAGTGATACTGTAACATGATGGTGTTTTATCAAATGTGTGTTTTTTTTTTTTTAGCAAAAATAAACTCGAAAGTAGCTAAGATTGCATATGAAAAACATGACAGAAAATATACTAAAAAGTCGTGACTCGTGAGTGGTCATAATTGGTAAAAACTTACCTGTCATTAGAGAGTAATAGTTCGGATAGGACAGACTGGGGAAATCTGGAGTTATGTAATCAACTTTCACACCGTTTTCCACGATTTCTCTAAATCCGGCCAAGTTCTGTAAATCGTCCATGTAATCATAACGGAAGCCATCGATCAGAAACACCAGGAGTTTGCGGTTTGCGTCGCAGCATCGAGACAGAAGTAGAATAAAAGCGGCGAGGATGTTCAGCACGGCTCGAGTCATGATGCTCTAAAACTGAGAGCTGAAGTGAACTGACTGATGGAGAGATGAACACACTCATCGCGCTGATTCATGAAAAACTCTCCGTCTCAATGGGCGTGTGTCGGGGAGAGTCCACGACCACTGCAGGGACAGATAGCCAGCGTTCTGGTCTCCCCTTTAAAATGGTTAATCTTTTATATATATATATATATATTGCATTTTTGTTAGTATTTTAAATTTTATATATAATTTTAATAGTTAAAAAAAAAAAAAAAATTTTACATTTAACTTGGCAGTGTGTGTACACAAAGACCCTATAATCATAAAATTCCACCCAGTGCTTTTTTTAAATCGCCACAAATCATAAGCACTTTCTCAAATCAAGCCGTTCCAAAGTCATAAACTATGCATCATTTGAAAGCTAAAACAATCCAGATTTATCTTCTGAACTAGTTTTTTAAATCAGTACACCAGAGAGGAAATGGTTAAATGAAATGCTGAAGAACTGGCCATTTAAGTTAGTTCAGCGAATACTTAACCCCTCATGAACAACTATCTAAATCTGTTTATCTTCATTCACTTCCAGTAAAGGAATATTTAAAATGCAGCTGACGTGGGTTTAAGCTCAAAAAGTACCTAAACAGAACCTAAAAGTCCTCTTCAAAACGATGACCCAGCTAATAATTCAGATAAGCAGATACTTGAACTCCTGATGACTACTCTAAATTAGGCCTTTGTAAAAGAGATAGTACATAAAGACATTTTTCCTTGTCTTGTGTATTTAATTAAGAATGGAGGTAGTAAACAATTATATAATTTTATATAAGCTAAGACTTGTTTACACACAATGTCTGTGTGTGTATATATATATATATATATATATATATATATATATGTATACTTTGTAAGATATTTCCATCTGCTGGTATACCGATAAATAAATCTCAATGAAAGTAAGCTGTTTTTCTGTTGTCTTTGTGGATGAAGGACTCATCATTTGTGCCTGGCGCCTGTGATTAATGGCCCTGTTCAAACAATAATGAATGAGCAGATCTCAGATCCAAAAGATCTCTATTGTTCTAAAGTAAGAGTATTTTTTAATGACCTTTATACTCTTTTTGAACTGTTTTTGTATATGAGTGTACTACAAAATGTCATGGAATGCATTGGTAAAGCACTACGGTGACAAAACAATGATTTAGGCTAGGCTTCACAGGCATTTGGAACTCATTTAGGGATCCCGGAGTTCATAACATCTTACATCCCACTAGATTACTCATAATAAAGAAAATAAATGTTCAAAAGACCTAAACCAATAACTTATAACTGCAACACAAGAAGTGATACTGTAACATGATGGTGTTTTATCAAATGTGTGTTTTTTTTTTTTTAGCAAAAATAAACTCGAAAGTAGCTAAGATTGCATATGAAAAACATGACAGAAAATATACTAAAAAGTCGTGACTCGTGAGTGGTCATAATTGGTAAAAACTTACCTGTCATTAGAGAGTAATAGTTCGGATAGGACAGACTGGGGAAATCTGGAGTTATGTAATCAACTTTCACACCGTTTTCCACGATTTCTCTAAATCCGGCCAAGTTCTGTAAATCGTCCATGTAATCATAACGGAAGCCATCGATCAGAAACACCAGGAGTTTGCGGTTTGCGTCGCAGCATCGAGACAGAAGTAGAATAAAAGCGGCGAGGATGTTCAGCACGGCTCGAGTCATGATGCTCTAAAACTGAGAGCTGAAGTGAACTGACTGATGGAGAGATGAACACACTCATCGCGCTGATTCATGAAAAACTCTCCGTCTCAATGGGCGTGTGTCGGGGAGAGTCCACGACCACTGCAGGGACAGATAGCCAGCGTTCTGGTCTCCCCTTTAAAATGGTTAATCTTTTATATATATATATATATATTGCATTTTTGTTAGTATTTTAAATTTTATATATAATTTTAATAGTTAAAAAAAAAAAAAAAATTTTACATTTAACTTGGCAGTGTGTGTACACAAAGACCCTATAATCATAAAATTCCACCCAGTGCTTTTTTTAAATCGCCACAAATCATAAGCACTTTCTCAAATCAAGCCGTTCCAAAGTCATAAACTATGCATCATTTGAAAGCTAAAACAATCCAGATTTATCTTCTGAACTAGTTTTTTAAATCAGTACACCAGAGAGGAAATGGTTAAATGAAATGCTGAAGAACTGGCCATTTAAGTTAGTTCAGCGAATACTTAACCCCTCATGAACAACTATCTAAATCTGTTTATCTTCATTCACTTCCAGTAAAGGAATATTTAAAATGCAGCTGACGTGGGTTTAAGCTCAAAAAGTACCTAAACAGAACCTAAAAGTCCTCTTCAAAACGATGACCCAGCTAATAATTCAGATAAGCAGATACTTGAACTCCTGATGACTACTCTAAATTAGGCCTTTGTAAAGCACCTGTTATTTTTTGTTTATATTTTATGTTCTTGGACATATTTACAATCTGTCACGTCAATTTCACTATTTAGCAGAGCATCATACCAAAAATACTGGCTGTTGGTTTAAAGGGGTCATATGATGCTTTTTTAAAGATCATTATTTGAGACTTTAGTCTTTGCAACTTCAGGGATCTTATCTATGCACAATCAGCTTGTAACACTCCAAAGAGAAAGGAAAACTTGAAATCGCATCATATGACCCCTTTAAATCTTGGCCCACTATAATGACTTGAAAAGTTTTGGCCTGCGTTTTTTTGCTCTACACATTATATGATCTGCACTGACCTCTGGTGTCTGGAAACTGATATAACAGCCCTTATAGAAACAAACAGAAGTGTCTTTCCTCTGCCACTAGGCTGTGCAATAACCTCAACATTATGCCCTCACTGAAACCTCAGACAGAAACAGTGAATATGAGAAAACAACCCAATATATGGTCCAACAAACCTCTACTGTAGTTCATTCAGGTAGGCTAAAAGTAGTCATATTGAACTTTGAGGAGGTGGATTCAGTAGATAAAGGTGGATTGTGCAATAATGTTCAGAAATGTGTTTGGTACCACACAGTGGTAGAGTGGTCATATGTCTCTGTGTTGTTGTTGTTACTAAACATTAAAAAAAATAAATCTGTACCCATTTGGAACCAGAGCCAATCACTGCATTTTAATCACAATACAAACAAAGATGCTACACACTACACACATGTAGCATGAGTTTTTTATTTATAATAAACTTGAAATTGTATAATTTCAACATTTAAAGCAAAAACAGAATACTCTGGTGAAATTATGCTACATAAAACCAGTGTTGCCAACTTAGCGACTTTTCAGACCCCTTTAACGACTTCTTTCCAAAAAAGCGCCTAGCGACAAATCTAGCGACTTCTTGTACAAACCTTATTTAGTTTCTGAGACTAGCCGGTACTGCCGCACGAGCGAGGTCTTGCTTTCCCAGCGCGCACACCCCTCTCTCTGCGTCTGCTCAGTTCAGCGAGCGGCTGAGAGGAGCAGCGCTTTCAGTTAAAAAAGATATTCTGTGGCTTTGAACTCTACTGTACATGCAAATATAGCCGAAATCACAGCACAATCATGTCTTTATCTTATGTGTATTTGATTTAATTAGACAACATCCTGGACTCCTGATTATGAATCAGGATTTTTGTGCAGATTAACATCTAAGGGAGAGCTGGTTATGTAGTCTTAATGGGCCGCGTTTCAGTCACTATTTCATATTCGTCCCATTGTGTGACAACAGAAACAGCAAAATATATCAGTGAAAACCGTTTTATTGACAATTTGGCTGCATTAAAATACAGTTTGGGGGCACAGAGGAAGTTGGCAACACTGCATAAAACATACCTGCACGAAACAGAAACAGCAGAGGGGCTGAATGAGACGCAGATTCACTCTCTGCCAGCAGGTGGGCTTCTGGATCAGCAGCACACAGCGTTTCCATGGTTACCGCTGTAAACAAAGCAGCTGCGCATAAAAATACTGTTTAATAAGCATTACACGTAAGAGGGAAAAATGCCATCGAAACTTTTCTGAAGACAGTCAGTTCCCTTCAGAGATACTTAATCATATGAAACCCCACCCGAGTATTTATATTTTTCTTCCAGTATTTCGAGCATCGCCAACAGTGAGCCTGCTGCGCTTGACCGCAGTAGTATTTTCTCTGTGCGCGTCTGTCAATTTTAGGCCCTGCTTGCAAGAGATAAACCCTTGAGCTTTTATTTTAAAGGAAACTGTAGTTGAGCTTTTATTTTGTCGGAAAACTGCAGCTTCTGTGACAATTGCCCTGCGTCCCAATGTTCATACTATCCACGATAAATAAATTTAAAATTAAAGTTTTATCCAAAGCGACTTACAGTGCATTCAGGCTAACTTTTTTTATCAGTATGTGTGTTCCCTGGGAATTGAACCCACGCCCTTTGTGCTGCTAACGCAATGCTCTACCACTGAGCCACAGGATCATTAAAATAATTAGATTAAATAGCATTTGAGATTAGAATAAGTGTATCCCAAAGCATAGTACAGTATGTTGAACAGAGTATGCCAAAATTCCCCCGATGGTCTACTTTTTCAGGTCGATTTTTGAAGGGTGGACTGTGCACACTCGGCTAATATTGCCCCACAATCCATTGAGCTTTGGCGAAGAAGGATTCGGTTCATAACACTGATACAAACATGGCGGATGTGTGCGACGGACGGTTAAGTAGAGAGGTTTAGATAAAGGGTTTGAATTACTAATAGTAAATAATCAACATTTAACCTCGTAAAATATTTATTTAATGTTATTTGTGTTATATTTCATCTGAAACAACAATGTGAACTTTTTTAAACATCCGTTTGATCATTAACTTTTAAATGCGTCATTATGCAAAAATCTACGTGCTACTTCTTTTCTTTCTAATACGGTTGGAAGTTAAATTAAATTAAATGTAGATTTGAAAAATAATGTGTTTTTTGAACATTAAAGCATGTCAACATATTCTGTTACACCAAATACACAAAATAATGATCTTTAAAATAGCATCATATGACCCCTTTAACTGTGATAAGATGCTTGACAGGCCAGTTTACAGTGACAGGGTGCGTGTTATTATGCGACAGAGCGGTCCATTCTATGCACAATCAATTTAACAAATTTCTACTTATATATATATATATAGGCCTATATAAACAACTATTTAAATATAATATTAATACAAGACTTTTGTTTTAGTTCAGGGTTCCTCAAATCTTGCCCTGGAGGGCCAATGCGCATTGCGCTGCAGAGATTAGCTCCAACCCTGATCAAACTCACCTACCTGTGATTTTCTAATGATCCTGAAGACATTGATTAGCTTGCTCAGGTGTGTTTGATTAGGGTTAGAGCTATACTCTGCAGGAAAGTGGATCTCGTGGGCCAGATTTGAGGACCTCTCTTTTAGGCCCTGTCCACACGAACTTTTTCTACGCGGTTTGGCCGTTCGTCCGCGCAAACGCAGCACCAGTTCACGCCTGACAGGGTGAAGATTTTCAAAAACTCCGGTAGCAGTGTTATCGTGTAGACAGCGAAACCGGAGTTTTTGGCCTGCGCCGTTATCTCCAAAGCCACTAGAAGGAAGCAGTATTTGCCTGAAATTTTAAGGGGCATTTAAGAGCAATATGAACATTAGTTATTTTTCTAACCATACAAATACATGGCATGACATCCATTTAGGTCAAATAATTCATAAGGAATATATATATATATATATTAGTGTGAAAACTGAGTAATATTAATATGTATTAATATATGTAAATATTATTTGGAAGATTATTTACTTTACTATTCCATTCACTATTGTACTGTACTGTTAGATGTTTCATGTGTGTGTGTATATATATATATAATTTATTTGAACTTATTTATTATAATATCAAATGTTTTATTTATTCATTTTAATCTTATAATTATATTTATTTTAATTATGTTTTGTTATTTTAAACTAATTATTTACTTTAATCAAATGTTTTTATTTATTTATTTACATATTTACTTAGTCATTTTTTATTATTTGTTTTACTTTTTTAATGATTTTCTCTAAACTCCATTCAGACCCCAGTTTGAAAACCTCAGATGTTACAGATACTTTTATCCTAAACAGAGTGATTTAGTGTACACTTAGTATAGGTTCAGTCCCACTCAGTTATTAATTAAATAACAAAAATGTAAAAATTAAATATATCATTTTTTAAATAAAAACATATAAAAATAAAACGCTTTTAAAAAAAAAGTATTTTATTATTTATGTTTACCTGCATGTCATGTAATCATTAACCAGCATCAGAGAACCATGAACATGACAAAAGGTTTGGTAATCTCTGCTGAGGTCAAGTGTCTTCATCAAGAGCACAAAGGTGATAGTTAGCACTTACAATCTGTCAATTTTCTACCCAGGAACTAACAGTATATTTTCATGAATTACAACCTGAGGCCATGTTGTAAAAACACACACTTCCTTGTGTTCATATTGTGATAATCCCGAATTGCATGAGAGCGTTATCACCCACATCGCCAGGGGCCCCACCACACACAGCATACAGTTCACCACCATCAGTTGCATTTCCTCTCTGACACTCAACTTCATGCCTTTGATTGCTCTCTCTAGAAACTTCTGCATTGCCTGCAAGACGTTTGCTTCACACATCTAAACTGTGTTTGGACTGATAACTGGCACATAAAACAGTTGTATAACAGCACTTAAAATTAATGATTATTTATAGCTTCTATTGTTTTTACTGACAGAATTATGGCGACAGACTGGCTATCATCAGACTGTAGGATCTGCTGGCTTCCTGACACCATGTGAGGGCAAATTTATCACAAAAACTAAAAAGACAAAAAGCGAGGGCGAGATCTTCAAGTAAAGCTTAAATCTTGTCTTTCATAAAGGCCGAGGTCAGGGATCTTGGGCCTAAAAGGTTGGTGACCACTGCTTTACATCTTTACGTTCACATATACAGTAGAAAGAGACACATTAAAAGGTTAAAAAAATCATAAAACAAGTGCTTTGTCTTGTCATAAAAACCACAAACTAACACATATTCACACAGGATGTCTTACATCATAAGGCCCATAATGTAAAATGGTATGTACTATCCATTGCATAAAGATCCCTAAGGTATAAAAATGTATTCGCTCACTATGAAGGTCTTAAGATAAGTTAATATTATGCCATTTATGTGCATGCATTTTTTTTTTTCAGAAACAGGCTCGTAAAACGTCTATCCTTGATTGCAAGCTGCAAAAGTCACTGATTATGGCAGCCAGTGCTCATCCATAAGGTGCTCGGTCGACTAAAGGCAATTAGGCAATGATTCCTCTATATACACATTCATAATGGCTTGCGGATCACTACGGCAGCTTACGGATACACGTCACTGCACTCAAAAACTCCCTGAATTTAAGCTCACATGTCACTTCCTGTCTGGGAGCATCGAGTTAACCTCCCGTAGGATGCTCCATCCCTGTCCTGTGAGCTCGTAGGTCCTTTATCGAAGGCGATGATAGTGTTCTCGACGAGTCCGGCTGGACATCGTGTGCAGGTTTCATCAGCAAGTCTTGACGGAGGATTTGGACACGTCTGAGGTTTTCATAATGACGCTGGCACGTTTTTCGTGGGCCGACGGCTGGCCGGAGGGTCCGGGGCCTGTAGGATCTGCTGGCTTCCTGACACCATGTGAGGGCAAATTTATCACAAAAACTAAAAAGACAAAAAGCGAGGGCGAGATCTTCAAGTAAAGCTTAAAGAGTCTAACATTAAAGTCAAAAATTAAGTTCTTAGATTTAAAGTAAGTACTGAAAAAAAAAAAAAAAAGGTACCATTTTTATGAGAAAATATTGTTTATGTCCCCAAAAAAAAAAACTGCTCAATATATATAAAAAACATAAATATATAAAATAAAATATGCCTATATGAAATAAAATAAGATAGAAAATTCATATAAAATAAAATATGCAGTCATTTTGACATTAACAGGGTGTCTACAGATATGAACAAGTTCAATTTAAGACTTTTTAAGACCTTTTTAATACCACCTTATGTGAAATTTAAGACCAAACCTGTGATGGAAATACACATTATATTACATGCATATATGTAATATTTAACACGTTTAAATGTAAAAAGAAAACAAAATATCAGCGCTGTCAAAAATGCTATTATTACGATATACAGTGAACTTTTCATATCAGCAGACAATATCCCATACAAAATATTCCCACAAAAGTGTCGCATCACTGAGATTTTTGGTGGTTTAAACAATTTATTCTGAAGAAATATATTCATCAGTTTTCTGTCAGCTTTTACATACTTAAATCTGCATGTTTTTACCACAGGATGTCATTTACCTTTATAAAGGCCGATATTTTTTTGCAAACAATGTTATGAGATTAATGTTGTAAATAAAATTTTGAACATACAAATGAGAAGCATGCATTTTTTTTTTTCAGAAACAGGCTCGTAAAACGTCTATCCTTGATTGCAAGCTGCAAAAGTCACTGATTATGGCAGCCAGTGCTCATCCATAAGGTGCTCGGTCGACTAAAGGCAATTAGGCAATGATTCCTCTATATACACATTCATAATGGCTTGCGGATCACTACGGCAGCTTACGGATACACGTCACTGCACTCAAAAACTCCCTGAATTTAAGCTCACATGTCACTTCCTGTCTGGGAGCATCGAGTTAACCTCCCGTAGGATGCTCCATCCCTGTCCTGTGAGCTCGTAGGTCCTTTATCGAAGGCGATGATAGTGTTCTCGACGAGTCCGGCTGGACATCGTGTGCAGGTTTCATCAGCAAGTCTTGACGGAGGATTTGGACACGTCTGAGGTTTTCATAATGACGCTGGCACGTTTTTCGTGGGCCGACGGCTGGCCGGAGGGTCCGGGGCTGTGGGAGGACGAGGGGAAAGGGGTGTTTAAGAGGCTCCAGTTCGTCTCACCGGTGAAGGGGGCGTGCAAGGCCGAAGGTGCAGGCTCTCGGACAGTGGTTATCTTGAAGTTGGGCTTGTCGGGAGAAATGAAAGTGGACATGCCAGGCAGGGGCATCCTCATCTTTTTGTCTTCATGTCCAAATAGCAAGGCCTGAATACGCTGCAGGACGAAACAATGCCACATCAGTGATTAGGACACTAGAAGAAATGACAAATACTAATATAAAATACTAATTTGTCATGGTTTTCAATCTTTTAGATGCCATGGACCCCCCAAAGCCAGTAGGTGGCGGTAAGTCACTTATTCATTAAACAGATTCCTTTAAACAGCTGAATCATTCAGTAACAAATGCCAGTGTTGCTTGGAGAGTGTGCGCAATAATTCTGTTCTGATCTTTGTTTGGAACTATTTTCGTTGGTGAAATAGAACAAAACAGTCAATTGTGTCTAAAATGTAAGTAACTTCATATACTTTACTACTTGCTTGTTGAACTAAAATCAGTGTAACATTTGCAATTGTGAAAATATTCAGCAAAATAGTTCC